AAGGGGAGCAGAGGAGGTTACCAGCTTGTGAAATGTCAAGGACAACTAGACAGAAATTACTGCAAATGGATTTAGATCACTAGAATCCCTATTTTTATTAACTCTTTGAACTCTAGATATTTATTGTGGTAAGAAATTACCCATGACAGGTTATGTAGTCAGAAAGATTTATTTAGAACCTTTGATATGTTTTGGCAAGAGCGAAGAAACTAATAAAATTTACTGAATTGTATCAGTTAATGCAAAATTATATATCAGCTGAATGGCATACAATAACAATATGCATCTAAATTGCTTAATTGGTCTGTGAATATTTTAAAAATGCCAGACTTTTTAAAAATATTGGTCTTCTGTGTCTTTTTTCTTTGCATTCCCTCATTTTATGCCTGCAAACTGACGTAACTTCTGGGGAAGTTTTTTTATGTTGTTATTTTTGATATTTTCCTTCATGTCTTGATTTACACTGGCTGACTCAATGTTTGTAGTGTAGGAAGATAATATTTTGAGATTTGTCTTTCCTGAACATTGTAGCATGAAACATAAACTTCTCCAAATCATGGTAGCTTCAAACAAGCATTCCTTTGCATAAACCTGGCTTTGCATTGACCTTTTACCACTAGTGCCACTGAAGGTGCAATAGGAGTTTTAAGGACCCACTTATCAACTATTCTGTCTGTTAAGTGGAAAGCAGATTGGGAGACAGAAGGTCCTCTGTGTCCCGTCCTCTGGTGTAAATACCATCATTTTCCCCTGCTAATTTCTGAGTCTTTTTGTCCCTATCTTCAGGGTGAATTTAACAATGACCCTTCTAAAGTATGAAGCTGGTGGTTTGTAAGAAGCTATGTTATATGGCAAATTACACTGTACATAAAAATGAATGAAAAATAGCAGATCCTGTCAGAAAAGTATGCAATTTTAATTTCTGATCTAAAGACTACAGAGGTTGATAAAAACATTTATTTTGGCTTCTGTGTGATGAACATGTGGCAAAATACAATAAGGCCAAAGTTTATATAGGAGTAAATTAAGTTATGCACTGTTTAGGAATAATTCTATTGGCTAGTTTGGGGAGATTAAAAGAATATTTTACACATCTAAAACTTAACTAAAACTTAAGCAATGTAGCAATACAGAAGGTAAAATCATTGTCCTTCATTTGGACTTTTAGGAGCTGAAAGGCTGTAGGTAGGATAATGCTTTCCAAACATGTAATAAACTATGCAAAGAGAAAACAGTAATCTGTTCTCTGTGTCCATGATGGATTGATAGTTAGGGCAAGGGAAAATGGGCTTAGATTGTGTAATGAAAGATTCAGGCCAGGTGTTAGGTAAAACTTCCTCAGGTGAAGAATACTGAAGTCAGTTGATGGAAGGATTGTGGAGTTGCTGTCATTCAAATTCTGGGACGAAAGGGTAGACAGATATCTGGCAGGCAAGATGGTATAGCTGAACCTCTTCTGGAATGGAGGAATGGGCAAGGTCACCCCTCCAAATGTGACCCTGAAACAGTTAGATATTTGAGGTATCTGTTCCCTGTCCTTAACAGGAAAAGCACCAAAAGAGCTCTCTCTCTCTAATAATCTTTATTAGAATATGAACTGGCATAAACCCACTTATGAAACAAAGAAAACCCAAACTCTGGCTGAGAAAAATGTAAATAGGTTTTGAAAATTACTCTAGCCCTTGCTAGTGTTATCCTTTCCTTCATTCTTGTGTTCATTCTTGCAACTTTCAGTGGCTTCTTGGTTAAAGCAATTCTCTCTGGGCCCCAGTTGTCATCTTGCTGTCTCTGCTGAGGTTCACTCCTGTCTGCTCCTTCCTTTTCCCAGCAACCTCCCAGGCTCCGTCCTTGCTGCCTGCTCTGTCCTTGCTAATCCTTCCTCTCTCTGCTTCTCCCAGCTTGTAATTCTCCTAGCAAAGCATGCTCAGGGGCCCTGGGGAAGGGAGTATTTGCCTTGTCATCCTCACCCGGCACCTGCCATTGGCATGAGGTAGAAGAGACAGCTTCTTCATTTTTTCACAGCAGAATAAACAGTGAACACATAAAAACAAACCTTTCTATCAATTGTCTAAATTAATTGTATTTTCTATGCTTCTAAGTAGCTAAATACACATTTTGAAGATTTTTCCAAATGTTAGCAAGTTCATACTTACAGGGTGCCATGAGTTATCATAATGCGTCTGTGTTTTAGTATATATTCATTCATTCTCTAGAAATGAGAAGGGGATGGATTTATCTGAGCTATTTTTAAGTGTTGTGGTTTCTTAGTGTAGTCAATAGTGGAGACAGCAAAATTGCAAGAGGAATATCAAATGCTCCCAAAGAAAACTGCATGGTTAATGCAAAGTATTGGAAATATGTAAGTATCTGGGAAAGGTCACATGCGACATTGTTCATATCTCAAGAAAAGGTTCAGTTCATGCTAAATAGTACTCAAATAAGCAAATAAAATTGTAGGCTGCATTAAAAATAACATCGAAGAGAATGCTGAGACTATAACTGAGTTTATTAAATTTTTTTGAAATACTATGTTTAGTTTCATTACTTTGACTAAAAAAAAAAAATACCAGGAGATGTGTAACTGAAGTGATTAGGGTTCTAGAGAGGGTGTTATTTGAAGAGGATTTAGTAGTCTGGCACTGGTTAGTTTCCAGAGCACAGGAACAAGACAGGTCAAACTAAACATATACAACACAATAAATCTTATGAAGAAAGTTAATCACATGCTTTCTATTTATTCTATTTCTATTTATGTTTTCTGCTATACCAGACAAGGGAACATTAAATTACACTGAAGGCAAATAGCAACAAAGCTAAAATTGCTAAATGGAAATACCATTAAAAATATTCAGTGACTTAAATCCCTTTGTTTCAAGATACCCCTGAAGTCAGAAGGTTAGTAGAATTCAGTTAAACACTAGATGTGTCTCTGGGTAGCACAAATCTTTCAGATACGTTAGATGTAAAAGTTCACAAATAGATCCTAGGGCATTTAAAACTGAAAAAGGAAATTTAAGAGTTAATATACCTTTGATGGAATCAAAAACTTTCTTGCTATTTGACATTACAGGTTAGTACACCACCATGTTGCATAAAAAATGGTAATAATTAAAAACAGTGGTATGTGTTTCAAGGCTTTTATACAAAATAGAAATAAACTTTGCTTACTTTTTCTTTAATAAATTCTGTTTCATTTGAATATTGACTTTTAATTTAATTTTGACTTAATAATATTTCATCATTCTGAGGTCCTTATGAATTTTTCCTTTCTTTAAGGCAATGCTCTTAGTTTGTCAGTGATTTGTATGGTAGCACGTGTTGGGTTGTGGCCAGCTCTTAGTCCCAAGTTAGTAATAGTTTGTTGAGCTCTAGAAAGATTAATGTCTAGTTTTCTCCAGCTGTGAGGTTCGTTCATTCTTCTTTGGGCCCCATTAGAGAAAACCAAAGGGCTTCCTCGGGAACCTGAGAGTTAGTGAATCCTGTTTAGGGGAAAGGGGAGAAGTTTGTTTTTAGAAATACTCTGAGTAAATTAGAGGTATATAATCAAACTTAAGATTGTCAGTAAAATAATATTTTTTTTCTTTTAACTTTATAGGGTATTCAGGATTGCTTTTAGTTTGGCTTTGCTCTAGCTGCTGTTTTATTATTTACTGCATGTGATATTTTTAAATTTTTTTGGCTTTTTGAAATTACAGCTCATTTCATAATGAGCTATTCAAGCTCAGGCATGTCTCACTTGGTTAGTGTTTTGCACTGGTTAGATATAGATTGGCGTTACATTTTAGTCTAATCTGAATTCAGACTGTTTGTAGTATATTAAAAATGATGTAAAGAAGCAAGTAAATTGCCTCCCTAAACATACTTAAATTGTAACATA